ATGATGACTGTGTAAGGTACTAGGCTCTTGTGGGGAAGGGTCACCTATGAGGCATTATTCACTTAGAAAATAAATATTGATTAAATAACTACAAGGAGCTCTGGTAGCGTAGTGCCTAAAGCACTTGACTGCTAACCAGAAGGCTGGTGGTTCAAACCCACCAGCCACTCCTCAGAAAGAAGGTTGGGCAATCTACTTCCACAGTGATACCACCTCGGAAATCCAAGGAGGGGTCACTATGAGTCGGGTCCAACTCCATGGCACATAACAACAACAACAAATAACTACAGTGTGTTGGGGACTGTTTTGGTGATTAGAGACACAGTCGTGAAAAATCCAGACAAAAACTTCTGTCATTATGGAGCTTATAGTCTTACCAGAAGAGTAACAATAAATGAGATAAGTAAGTAAAATATAAAGTATGCTAGTGTTATGAAATATGAAGAAAAAAATCAAGTAGGGAAGGAACTCAGCCAAAATTAAAGTGGCTTCTTGGAGGAAGGTAGTTAAGAACTAGCCTTTACAGGCTGAGTGGCAGTGAAGACTAAACCGGAAAATATGAGAAAAGGCTCTAGTTAATAAGGACTTAGCATTCTCAGAGGATGGAATTTGCTATAGGAATGTGATATATTTTGGAAGATATGAGAGGAATGTAAAATAGATTCATATCACAGAGGATGTTGAAAATCTAACAGAGGCTTTCATCTACCATCTCAGTTAGTGAGATTTTGACATTCTCTTAAGCATTATGGTGGTTCAGCTATAAAATGCCAGATCCAGACAATATGGGAAGTATCAAATTTCATTGCTTTAATGTCCTTGTTGAAATCCCTGGGTAATGCAAAAAGTTAACATGCTTGGCTGCTAACCAACAAGTTGGAGGTTCAAGTCCATCCAGAGATACCTTGGAATAAAGACCTGGCAATCTGCTTCCAAAAACCCTTTGAAGCACAATTTGATTCTGCAACATGTGAGATGACCATAAGTTGGACATGACTAGAGGGTAACTGTTTCTGTTGTTGTTGTTGTTGTTTTAATATCTTTGTTGAAAAACTGAAACTAGATACAGGAATTGAATTTTCAAAGCACTCTGGTGGTGTAGTGCCTAAGGCACTTGACTGCTAACCAGAAGGCTGGTGGTTCAAACCCAGCAGCCTCTCCTGGGAAGAAAGACTGGGCAATCTACGTCTGTAGAGATACCACCTAGGAAACCCAAGGAGGGTTTGCTGTGAGTTGGTTTCCACTCCACAGCAGTGAGTTATCATTAGTGAATAGATACGTAAAATGTGAGAGTCAGACAGATTCTTCCTTCTCTCCCTTCCCCCTTACCCTCCCCTCCTCTTTCTCTCCTTCCCTCCCTCTTTTCCTTCTTTGCTTCCTTCCCTGCTTTTCTCCCTCCCTTCCTCCTTCCTACCCACCAAAAAGTCTTTTGTGAGGACAGCTCCTTGTGAGCTGAAATTTCCTTGTGATGTAGATGAGGTCAATTTCCTTTGGACATTGAAAACAATAGACAAGTCTTCTTTGACATTTTCTTCTTTGCCTGACTTGAGCCAACCCATTAAATATTTTGGAAGGACAGGATTCAGTAAATAAACTCTGATCAGGGCTTTTCCATCTCTTTTTCTAAGTTATTTCTAGTGACAGTGTGATCCTCTTTATCACCACAAAACAGCTCAGACCAAAGGACAGTTAGTCATTTCTGCTGTTCCTGTCCCATTTTCTGGCTTCCCTATGACATAGCTTAATTCAACCATGTAATTTCCCCCAGCAGCAATAATGGGAAGACATAGGCAGTGGACAACAGGCCATGTGCCCAGGGTTAATAAGCAAAGTCTCCTAGTGCCAACTGCTGTATCTCCTGGGAGAAAAATATGACTTGGACTGGACCTGAAGCAAAAGAATTTAGATCACATTGTAATTATATATTAATTTTCTCCCAATATCTTTTGTCTGTAGCAAACAGAAACATCCAAAACAATTTTACTGCCCTAGAAATGCATTTCATGTTCAGGATGTTCTTTCCAAAAACAGCCATTTTAATGCCCAAAGTGTTGAGCACTTCACTGATGATTTTGTTTTTAAGTGTTTACAGAAGTCTTTAGAATCTGACTCTCCTATTTATTTATTTTTATTTTTATTCTTCCTTACCCTAGCAGAGTAAAATTATAGCTGTGAAGATGAAATCATTTATAGAAAGTCAAGGCAAGAGAGAGAAAAAAAGTGGAGAGTAACTACCTGACTTCTCCTTATTCCCTGTAGTGCAGGGTCAGTGTGGGAAGTGGGAAGGAGAGCCACAGAGTTAGAAGTGATGGAATATACACTAGCTTCAAGCCTTTTTAACCTCAATTTGGATAATTTAATGAATTTTCCACTCTTTCTCCCTTCTTGAATAAGGGCCTAGTGCCATCATTATGTATCATTTGAAGGAATCTTCATTTGAATGAGTAAATGAAACAAAAAGAAATGCAGAGGTGTTGATGAAAAACCAAAATCCAAACCCATTGCTGTCAAATTTATTCTGACTCATAGCAACCCTACAGGACAGAGCAGAATTGACCTATATGTTTTCCAAGTCTACAAATCAAGCAGACAGCCTCATCTTTCTCCCACAGAGCAGCTGGTGGGTTTGAACCATTGACCTTTTGGATAGGAGCGCAGTGCCTTAACCACAGTGCCACTAACTCCTTTAGATGTTGACTAGGCAATGTTAAATGAAACATAAATTTATAGGGTCAGAAACTGCATTGATAAATTGGAAGATTAATAAATCTATTAATTAGGAAATTCTCCGTAGAGAAAAACATCTTTCTCTATGGCTTAAAGATAAAATAGTTGTAGCAGTGTATGCTCTTGACAATAGATTCTCCAATGTTCAAATTATGCCACCTTGAGCAAGTTCTCTTAAAAATGTGTTATTACACAGACTTATTCTTAGGATTATATGAGATAGTGTAAGCATAATGCAGAGTACTCAGGGGACAATAGATACTCATTAAAGGTGAATTATAGTAATTCATTCAAAATATTTGTTGGCTTTATGCATTAAACTAGGCTTGGATGACCAATAAAATAAAAAGTCTATTCTCACTGACATTATATATTAGTGAGGAAGAAAGAAATCAAATTTAAAATTATACAAACTATTTACAGTTACAAATTGTTATGGGTGTTTGAAGGAAAATGTCGAATGCTATGAGAGGTTATGACAGGGGACCCAATTTAGACTAGGATTCAAGAAAGCTCTCATAAAGAAATGGCTTTTAGGGTGAGACCTGGAGGATGAGGAGCTGTTAGCCAACTGCACTGTTTGTGTGTACAGCAACATTAAGGTAGTAAATTGTATGCTATATAAAAGGAAATAAAAGATGACCTGTTTGTTCGTGGTTCAATCTGTATATTATTCCCCAAACACACTGAGAATAAGGGGAAGGGACCTAGATTTGGTTGGCTATGGGAGGTGAAAGACCTGAGGAGAAGTCCCCATAAGAAAAAAGTTAGTTTCACCTCTTTTCCTTGATGTTTGAGTTTCAGTTCTCATGCTGCTGATAAAAGAAAACCAGATCTTCCTTTTGGGAACTTGTTGACAAGCCATGGATACCTGTGACCTATCACTAATAGCATTTTCCATTCCTCCAACCGTAAGACAGAAACCAGAGACATAGTCAGTTATTATATAAATCAAGGTGGTGTGGTAGGCAGAAGGGAGTATTTTGAGCAAGCAGAAGGAGCCTGTTCATGCCTTCCAGATCTCTCTGCTGCTACAATAACTCAGGAGAGAGGGAAATAAGAAGGTCCCAAAGGAAGTTGGAGCAGGGGACCTGCCCTAGATAATAGCTTTGTGTGTGTATGGGGTGACTTATAGGACAGGGCAATAGTCCCAAAGAGGGAAGAGAATGGGTTGAACTCAGACAGTGAGAAGGCTTGGTCAAGATCAAAATACTGTCCAGACCTGTGCCATCCCCATGATTGGTTGCTGATTGAACTGCTGTGATCCATAGAATTTTCACTGGCTAATTTTTGGAAGTAGATCACCAGGCTTTTCTTTCTAGGCCATCTTGGTTTGGAAGCTCTGCTTAAACCCGTGCAACATCATAGCAACATGCTAGCCACCACCCGTGATGGGCAGTGTCTGTGCATGGTGTGCATTGGCTGGGAATCAAACCCTGGTCTTCTGAATGGAATACAAGAATTATGAAATAGAAATCTTTGAGGTCTGAAATTGCATTGATGAACTTGGGAATTAACTCATAGTCATGTACAAACCCAAGCTGATAAGTTAGAAAGTAAACGTCTTGTGGGTCCCAGCTGTTAATTGCTTAAGGAAGTATCTCCTTGTTGTTTTAGTAGTGTTTTTTATTTGTTTGTTTGTTTTCTGAAAGAAATTCTATACAAATTGCTAATATATATAGCAGGAGACAGAACAAAACAAATCAGAAATAATTCAATCAAATGAAATCCAGAACTACTATGGTTAGAGTGATAGACTGGTGTGGGATCTTAGACAAGCTGCTTACCCTTTAAGACCCTCATTCATCTTTGAGGATAAAATAAAATGAATTTTATAACTTGCAAATTTAAAGATATTTCATTTTAATGGAGGATTCTAAGATGCCAAATCCTTAAGAATTAAAAAAAAAAAAAATGCTTTCTAATACAGCGTTTCAACTATCATGGGAAGTAGATATTCTTTAAGTCAGAAGAGCTTTCTCAATGACCCTTAAATCATGTTTGAAGTTTCCAGACTCACTGATTTGAAAGACTTGCCTTGATATTTAGATATTCCAGAGGGTTTTTTTTTTTTTTTTTAAGAAAGAAGATGGGCTAAGCATCTCTTCCCTGAATGGGCAGAGAGGTCAGGATCTTTTGTGCAGAGACAAGAAAATTTGGGGGCAACCCTGACACTGGTGGTTTCTAAACAGAGGATAAGGGAAATTTCACTATGTTTCAACTCTCAGGACATCATCCCTCTGGTGGAAGGCCCTGAAGTCTGAGCCATGGCCATGGAAGGCTCTGTGCTGAGCCCCACATCCTGGGAGAAACGGCGGGCCTGGCTCCGTCAGAGCCATCACTGGCAGACTCAAGTCCTGGAAGAGGAGGCTGCAGCTGCCCTCCAAGATGTCCCTGACGCCGAGCCTTCCAGACTGGATGATGTTTTTCAGGAAGGTAAGAGGCTCTTAGACATCAGTTGGTCTGCCATGTTGTCTTGTGGTGAAGGAAATGTGGTAGCTAATACAGACCTGCAGAAAGATGGGCAGCAGGTCCTTTGTTGAGAGTAGGCCCACAACAAGGCTCATTTTGATTGATTTAAATGAGTTTAAGGAAAGAGATATGAATAATAGAAGGCATGCATCATGTGGAAAAGAAACATATGATTAGAAAAAAGAAAAGACCAAGTTTTTGCATCATCCTAAGAAAATGTGTCTAAGAACTGAGTTTGGAGGTGTTCTAAGAATGGTTTAAGGGTGTTTCTATTTTGTCTGTGCAACAAGTTTACACTCAATCTGGATGCCTGGATTCTGATCACAACTCTGTCACTAATAAGCTATGTGATCTTTGGCAAATCACTTGATTCTCTGAGCCATAATAGTCTAACTGAACTAATAGTACCTGTTACTATTCCTCTTACTAATACTATACAACCTCTCAGAGCATCTTTAAGGTTCAAATAAGATCACAGATATAAGAGCAAATAGATACACACTGGTGATGTAGTGCCTAAGGTATTTGACTTCTAACCAGGTTGGCGGTTCAAACCCCATTCCATGGAAGGAAGACTGGGCAATCTACTTCCATAAAGATTTACCGGCTCAGAAACCCAAAGGGAGTTGCTATGAGTTGGAATCCACTGGATGGCAGTGGGTTTGGGTTTGGGTTTTTTGATCCCCACACATATCCACAAGGGCTGTGCTCTTTTGTTTGTCTTAAAAGCAAAAGAATCTACCCCTGCCTTCAAACCTTGAAGAAAGGAGAGCAGTGGGCCTAACATCCTGGGCATTTTCCAGATTCCTAGGAGGAAGAGGGTGGGGAAGCAGAGAGAGAAAAAATGTGCACTATTTTTATACATAGGTACATTACTTTCAGACCTTAAAGAAAACTTTGTGGAAAGTTTCATGGTAACTTTTAAAAAAGATTCATTGTGTGCATTGTATAATAATAAATTGGGAGTGGGAAAGAGTTGGAGAGTGGGGTGAGTAGTAGGGAAGAAGTCTTGGCTTCCTTCAGCCCTCAAAGTGATCCAATGTCTGGCTTTTTAGGGAATCCCATCAATAAGATCGAAGACTGGCTGCAGGATTGTGGGTAAGTACTGGAGACACAAGGGGATTAGATATAGTTGATGGCTGGATGTGTTAATAGGCACTGACTGTTAGGAATTCAGGGACAGGGCAATAGGTTTGAACTAGGCCTGAAAATTATAATTGAGGCTAAGACTGAGGTGTTGTATGAGTTTGGGGTGAGTTTGAGGACTCAAAAGCTGTAAATCAAATATACCTCTGGATTGAGACTGAATTGTGTGGATGACTGGGAATATAGGCTGGATCTGGTCTAAAGCTAAGAATGGATGGAAATCTACATTTATGGGTGATGGCTGGGCTGAGTTCTATATCCCTACCCCATTGCTTTCCACTGCAGACTGGAGTCTTACACTTTGTAATGGAAAGAAGCCGAGTTAATAATTTGATAATTCTTATTGAGGAGTAATTCATCTGTTTATTTTTGCTGCAGAACACAGCGTAAGGGCCTAAGAGTCTACCATAGTTATTCAAAGCAGTGAAGAACTGTAGCAGATACTTCAAGGCAAAGCGTAGTACTTCTTTTCTCAGAAATACTTTAGAATATGAGATCCCATACCCCACCAGCCTGTACCATTTTAGATTCAATCTACCTAGACACAGAGGGAAAGCTTCTATGACCTATTTAAGCCTGATCATTTGTGTGATAATGAATTCTCAGAATGTCTAACTCTTTCCTGTCCTTTGTATCCTCTCCAGAAATGTCTAAAGCTTTAGATAGCCTTTAATCTAAACTTCTTTTTAAAGAGATATAAATAAACTCATCCTTGCTTATTTGGGAGGAAACAAATAGCACTGAATAATCAAAAGTTGTTTATTTCAACTTTGTTCCAGAAGGCAATGCCAGGAAGTATTTGTTGGTTTATTTTTTGTTTACAAAAGCATTGTCCTTATTGTTCTAATATTGTTCATAATTTATTGACTTTAAAGTCAGTTGTTGTCTTTAATTGCCGTCCAGTCAATCCCAAGTCTTTCAGAAGCAGATCTCCAGACCTGTCTTCCAAGGCATCTCTGGTTGGTTCCAATCTGCCAATCTTTTGTCTGGTAGTAGAGTTGCTAAATATTTGCCCCACATAGGGACTTCTTAAAGTCAGTTAAAACCAAAAAACCAAACTCACTGCCATCGAGTCAATTCTGACTCATAGCGACCGCCTTTGGGTTTCCGGGGCAGTAACTCTTTATGGAAATAGATTGCCCAGTCTTCCTTCCATGGAGTGGCTGGCGGGTTTGAACTGCCAACCTCCTGGTTAGCAGTCAAATGCCTTGGGCACTAAACCACCAGGGCTCCTTTTAAAGTCAATTAGAGGTCGTCAATTGGGATGGTGGTAATAGGAATGTCTGTACCTTTTAGTGTGTGAGGACTGTGCCAGGATATACAGTACTTCACAAGATAAGTACCAGAGAAACAATTGGCTCAGTAATACCTGTATTTCATTAACTACTCTTTAATCTTTCAATTGGAGTTAACAGTTATTAATGGCACATTTGCCTGGATGGTCAAGAGGGTGGCAAATAGTTCAACAGATGCTCCTTGACTTCAAGTACACTACATTCTAGTCAGAAAGAATAAGCTTACAGAAATAAAAGATTGTAAGCTCCAGAAAGCATCTTTCTTTACCCATGCTCTACAAAGATAACCGCTGAACTAAAACTTAGGATAAAAAGGGGAGAAGAAGGAAAGGAAAATTGCTAGATAGGTGAAAGACAGGTATTGATTTGAGTGAAGAGAAAGGCAATGTACCAAAATCAAGTGACCAACACAATAATGTTAAGGAAAAAGAAGCAAAGAGGTGCACAGAAGGTACAGACTACAAGATAAACACTTTTCCATACATGCAATACTACATTATCAGTAATAACAAACATTAATCTATGGGTGGCTACATAGGTACACAGGTTAAATGATCAAGTGTCTCTATGCAAAAGGGAATATACTTTTGACCATACATAAGTTTGGCAGATAGTATTTCTACATGCATAATTGTATGTGCTATAAGAATGTACATAAATACAACAGAGCTAAGAGGGAGCAAATTATGATAACTTCTTAGCCTCGGCACTACCCTGAAGAAGCAAGTCATTGGGCCCATGGACTTGGGACCATGGTTACAGGGTGCATCAAGCTCAATTAACATAACCTACTACACAAAAACATTGTTGTACATCCTACTTTGATAAGTAGCAACTGGGGTCTTAAAAGCTTGCAAGCAACCATCTAGATGCAAGAATGGGTCTCTCCTCATCCAGAGCAAAGAATGAAGAAAATAAAAGATGCATGGAAACAATTAGTCCAAGGGACTATGTACCATGTGAACTTCAGCCTACATGAGCCTGAGACTAGAAGAACTAGATGGTGCCTGACTACTACTGTCAACCACTCAGAAAGGAATTAGTGTAGGATATCTTGGGTAGAGTGGGAGAAAAATGTGGAATGAAAGCCAAAATCATAAATAAATAAAGACTAACCTTACTGGTCTGACAGAGACTGGGGAAACCCTCAAGACTGTGGCCCCTAGTTACCCTTCAAGCCTAGAATTGAACTCACTCCCATGGCTTCCAGCCAAACAATAGACAGGCATATAAGGTGAACATTTACACCTTATAGGTAGGTACACTCCTTGGAATAATCAATCTTTGGAGATCAGAAGGACAGTATTTGCACAGGGAAATAGCTCAGAGGACAGGAATTTATGGGAAAGAAGGACACAGGAAAAAGGTAACCACAGGGAGGAAGTAGGAAGAGAGCTATTATATTTTGTTGTGGTTGTTGTTATGTGCCGTGTGGTTGTTGTTATGTGCCGTCGAGTCAGCCCCGACTCATAGTAACCCCTCCTTGGGTTGCCAAGGCAGTATCACTACAGAAATAGATTGCCCAACCTTCCTTCTGAGGAGTGGCTGGTGGGTTTGAACCGCCAGCCTTCTGGTTAACAGTCAAGTGCCTTAGGCATATGCTACCAGAGCTCCTATTATATTATAGGGATTGCAATTAATGTCATGAAACAAAATGTGTACGAACTATAGTATTGAAAATAAATTTGTTCTGTAAACTTTCACACAATTATAAAAGAGATTATAATTATAATTATAAAAGAAAAATTGTTTTTAAAAAAAGGCAGTCTCGTGAGTGTAAAGTCTCCAAAGTTTGAGTTTAATTCTTATGTTAACTATATATGTAACTTAAGCAATAATTGAAAATCTTTCTATCTCAGCTACTTCCCTATGAAGTGGGGGGCTAGAATAATAAACTTTTAATAGTTTCTTGTGAGGCTCAAATGAGATGGTATATGTGCAAGTGCTTTATGCTCAGTAGTAATGGGTGAGAAGTAAGTTTACAAAGGAAAGCTCTTTATGTCTACTTTAAAAATTCACAAAATAGACTTCTGGTATGATAGAGGAATAGGCAGACAAGTGACACAGATTCTCTTCAACAAAGAAAAGAAAAACCAATTGACAGAGATACAGAAGATAATCCTGGAACCCTGAGCTTTGAAAGGAACTATACAGAAGTGGATTAGGCACCAACCAGTGGAAAAACCTGAGCAAAAACAGTGAGTACAGAGACGGTTGGAGCTATGGACTGTCAGCTACTCTGACGAGACCAACAGCCTTAATATTTCCAACTGGTGTTGGGACCCGAGAATTGACCTAAAAATTAATCCAGGTCACCAAAGGCTGCAGGAACAACTGCTCCAGTGGCATATGACTAGGAAGGGAAACAGCAAGGAGAGAGACAACCTGAGCTGTGGACTTTCTGCTGTCTGGAGGGCACAGCCATTTTGATTGTTTACACGTGGCAGCCATTTTGGATATTTAGAGTGACCGAGGGTGCAGCCATTTTGAATGTTTATAAGGGGCAACCATTTTGGATTTTAAAATGATAGCATTCTCATTTGGATTCCAGGGACCTAAGAACAGGATCTGTTTGCCAGGGTTGGCAAGGACGTACGAGAGGCTGACAAGAGGAGAGGAGACAGATGGTGAGTGTATAAGTGCTGTCAACTAGTGAATAGAGGAGTACAGGACAGTACCCTGCCTGTATAGATAACATACAAACAAAACAAAGAAAATGAAAATTGTGGGCAAGTCACTCCAACATATAATCACCAATTAAATATAAACACAAAAACGTCAAAATGCCTTGGAGACAAAAGAGCATCACAGTCCACACAAAGAAGCAAGATAAA